ACACTGGCGAGGGTTCGCTGGAATAAGTATTATCTACACCAGCGGTTCTCAAACTGGGTGATGCGAGCGTATTCCAGGGGTGCCAGATTAGTCAAAATCTGCTGGAGATAAGCGAAAACAACAGTTTAAAACAGAAACGTGAAGGAAGCCAAGAAGAGTTCTGGATGCTGGTGTGTTCAGAAGACAATAATTTTGGCAAGGCTGCAGTGCATTCTCAACGTACGCTTACAGTAACCTTCTGGGTCAAGTGGTTTGACGGTAAAATTAACTAAACTTCCCATAAACATAAATGAAATAAAGAAAAATTCATCCAAACAGTTTCATTAATTGCCTTAAAGAAAACTGAACATTAATTTGTGCAGTTTTTTTCTTCTTTTCGTAAGTATTCTAACCGCTTTAAGGATAGGTCAAGGATGCAGCGGCTAAAAATGTGAGAACCACTGCTCTATACTGCCGGGGAGAAATTAAATAAGTTGGTGTAGCTGATAAGGATGACTGCCACTAGCGGAAGTAAAGAGGACAGGCCAGACAGGAAACTGTTCACTTCAAAACTTTCAGTAAGGGCTCCGGAGTTCCAATATTGATAGCGAGGAGGGGGATTGTGGAGGATTAAAGGGGGGGGGGGTGGGGGGGGGGGAACTCTCTTCTCTAAATAGAATATTGTAAAAGTTGACTAATTAGAAGTAGGAGTGCTTCTGACTGAGAGGTGAGGAATCGACAGTCTGCACGTACATTTTCTGTAAAACGGATGTGCATGCGTAACTCCTCTAGTTCTTAAAGTCCAAAAGCGGATAAACAACCAGAACTTTCCTGTTGACAACCTATAAACGCGCAGAAGAAGAAGTGTTAACTGCTTTCAGTTTAGGAAATAAAAACAGTAACAATATAGTCAGTCAGTAGCCTGTCCCTTGCTCCCATAACAACCCTCCGGAAAACTTCTCGATGGCAAGCAAGATGTCCTGCGTCCGACACACCCATCCCGAGATTATCCGCCACATCCTGCACCCATTTTCTCTTTGGCCTTCCTCTTCCTCTCTTCCTAGGCCCCTCCATTATTGTCCTCTCTAAACTTTTGTGACGTTCCAAGTCACCAAAATATTTCAATATTCTGTGTTTTATCGTCTTTAATAACCAACCTCTTCAATATTCAGTTCTTCAAGTATAGATGCATTTGTTCTTTTTTGTACCCATGATATTCTTAGAACCTGTCTATAACATGTGTGGTTATTTATACGATGGTCTCCCCTTTACACACCACCGCATGTAGGTCAACTTCATTAATAAGTTGGTTGGACTAGTCTACCGTGGTCGTAATTACGGGTGTCGCAGTCTCTTGTCGTCTTGCATTTATATTTTTATTTCCGAGAAAGAAACGGCCTGCGACATGCGTGTTGTCACTCTCTAAAGGAGTTGTGTGTCAGACCCAGTATCTAAATGTTTTAGAAGTGTTAAAAACTCTAGCATGGTGAAATATACACCACGCGGTATCAGGGCCAGTGCGGAATATCCACGTGACCTTGTGTGAAAGTCGGATCGCTTAAGGCCGACCTATCAGAAGTGAGGTAGTCAGTAGGTCGTCATATCAGAAGCGTGTGTAGCGATGTGTAAATGGGGAGACCAGGGTAACGTAAAATTTACCACAGTTGTATTTAAAGGCATTTATGCGCTGCTCAGCTTGTTCAGTAAGTGTCTAGGTCTCACAGGCGTATGTTGCAAAGGGAAAGATGCATGCTCTTAGAAATCTAATTTTTTTCAGTTCTTGTCCCACTCCATAATCTATTTAGTTGTTTTAGTCTTTGAAGAGCAACTGATAGTTGTCGTTTAATTTCTTTCATTGTGTAACAATACAACTTTACAATTATCTAAAAAAAAAAAAAAACAAGATTTCTTCTTTTATTGATTTCACTCAGGTTCTTTCACAGCTAGACCAGGTTCAACGACTGTCAGCTTCTGTCTTCTCTTTGTCATGAGTAACCAGTGTGTACACGAAGGTGCCCTTAAGTACAGTAGAACCTCGCTTACCGTGCACCTCGTATAACGGGTAATTCGCATAACGAGCAAAACAAATTGTAAAAGAATGACTCGCTTAATGAGCGACGTTTCGCATAACGAGTGGCTAGGAGAGGGAAAGTCCCCAAATGTGCGCATGTTACATCAGTGTTTAGCACTTGTTCCAGTAGTGTCGTAGTGTCGCTTGTGATCACACATTTTCTTAAACTTGCGTTATATTGTGATACATGTACATGAATCCTCCAGGCCTACAAGATGATCTATCTGAAGAATTTAAGTTCATCAAGATCCAGTTTCTGCCTCACAACACCACACCGTAACTCCAGCCCATGGACCAGCAAGTTATTTTTAACTTTAAGAAGCTCTACACTAAAGCACTCTTCGAGCATTGTTTTCAGGTGATTGAAGGGACCAACATTACTCTCAAAGAGTTTTGGAAAAATCACTTCCACATCGTTGGCTGCCTCAAGGCGGGGGAAGGGGTTACCAAGAGAACCCTAACTTCTGCTTAGAAGAAACTTTGGCCGGAGAGCTTTGTCGATTTGTGAATTTGAGGAGTTCGAGACAGTACCTGTGGAACCTGTAGTCAACGAGATTGTGTCTTTGGCCACTATCATGGGATTGTAGATGGATAACAGTGATATCGAAGAGCTTGTGGAAGAGCACAGCCAAGAGCTGACCACCGAAGAGCTTTTGGAGTTGCATTGTGTTTCACAGCAAGAAGTTTTGGAGGAAAGTTTGACAGAGGAGGAGTAGGAGGTAGCAGAAAAGCAACAATCTTATGGTGAGATAGGAGAAATGCTGAAAGCATGGCAAACTGTTGCATCTTACATTAAGAAGCCTCACCCTAATAAGGAAGGGGCTATGCAAGTTGCAAAATTATTTAATGATAATGCTGTGTCACATTTTCGCCAAATTTTGAATTGACGGCAAAAACAAATGTCTCTGGACATCTTTCTAGTAAAAAAAAAATTATCTATGTTTCATAACTATTTCGACTTTTTTTCTACAAATGAAATTCACATTCCAGGTGGGTTCGTTCCGCGTTTGAAGAAAAAATGAAGATGATTCACTCTTCTTAACAATGAATAAACGTTATACATAGCATTTTGTGGTTTTTTCTTTCTTGACATGGAACGCTATTATCGTATTTTACATTAATTTAGTTTCGCTTAACGAGTATGATTCTGGAACGAATTATGCTCGTTAAGCGAGGTTCCATTGTACCTTGAAATAGATGTTGTCCGTGTTATTCTTGATCTTGAGTTGAGCTTACAGTCTAGAATTGACAGCACAGCACTCAGGGCTTTTCCATGCATACTCCGTCCTCATCTTCAGCAGCCAGCGCAGAATTCCAATACTGATGGTATCAGTCACAATCTGGTTATGTGTCCGTCTTGACTTTTCTCCGAGTTTAGTGAGCCGGCCAGACCCTCTTGTTACACCTCTTGATCTCGACAGATTTGGCATCACCCCTTATGGTTGTTAGCAAAAAGTCCTTGATTTTTCTGAAAATTTAGGCAGCATTCTTTTTTTTCTGCCAAACAACCCTCACTAGGTACTAGAGTACCGCTCCAAACCACTAGTTTTGGTGTAATTATTATTTCTTAGCCAACACAACTAGCACACAGAAATCAGACCACAATTATAGCCAATACTGCTCGCAGTAGGTTGAAAGTGGTAGTTTTTTTTTTTCATAAATGGATGGATGGATGGGTGGCTCAGCAGCGCTAGAGTGGTGATGTGGGGTCTGGGCTGCTTAATCTGCTTACAAAGATTCTCCAACACAGGCTTATTCAAATCAAATTATGGCTTGGAAAGAATGATGTAGCTGGGCATAACCAGGGGGTCTGGCCAGCTCACTACACTCAGAGGAAAGGTAAGACACACATATAACCAGACTATGACCGGTAACATTAGTACTGGAACTCTGCGCTGGCTACTGAAGACGAGGACAGAGCATACATGGAAATGCCCTGATTGCTGCTATGTCAACTCTTGACTCAACTCAACTCAAGGAAGATGTTTCAAATCCAGCTGTATGGTAGAGAAAAGATCCCGCCTCCAGGTTAGCCAACATAACAATTTTTCGAACACCTCTAGATTTAACAAATTCAGTCACAAATACACGCATAAGATAAGTGGTGTGCGCGCAGCAGGGGTGAGGGAAACAATAAACCAATGAATGAATGAGATGTATAAGTGAAGTGACCAAATGACTGCAATAAATGGTAAAATGATTAAAACTCTAAAGCAGTGTTTCCAAAACTCTTCTTAGTCGCAGTGCCTTTTTTTTTTCAGTTAATATTTTTCCATTTTTTCTTCTTCTTTTGTTCGCCTGAAATAAGTTGTCGATATCAGCAGTTTTGTTTCTTGTATAAATTTCACTGACGTTGTTAGTTTATTCAGTGGTCCATAGAGTTTACGTTCCACTGTTGTTCTTTCTGGCTAAAAGGTTTGTTTTAATGTGTCAAATTCGGTGAAGTCCTGGAGTACATGCTCTGCTGTCTGGGGCACCTTTCCACAGGTGCAGATGGCTGATACATGTGGTTACCTAATCGGTTGTGCCCTGTTCTGAGGCGGAGGATAATGACTTGTTCTGGTCTGTCCATCAAAAAATAGTTGTCTTGTCCTGGGGCTGGTGGTTTCCTGATAGATTTAATGATTCGTTTCTTTTGGTGGTATGTGACTAGTACATCCGGCTGCACTTTTGTCGCACCTTCTCCTGCCAGTTGATCAGCTTTCTCATTTCCATGCACTCCACAATGAGACGGTATCCAATGCATTACGACTCTTCGCTGAAGGCTGTAAAAGATGTAAAAGATTTTTAAAAAAAACTTGCATCTCTGAATAATTCGCGTGGCCACTGTGAAGAGGTCCAAGGGGCACAGTTTGGGAATCACTGCTCTAAGGGAATGAGGCAGTTACACTGCCTGTTGTTACAACAGATGAGCGGAAGTAGATGGAGCAGACGTGGCGGATGTACTTACCGCTGTCTGGGCTGTGATGTGAGTGCAGCCGATAATCTTGGCGCCCTGCAGGGGCTTGTCTGCTTCAGCTCTTCGTCTTAGAGCCACCAGACCAGGCATCTCTGGAACAACGGAATCAGCGTGGCTCATGAGGAGACAGTCAAGAGACAGTCAGAACCAACAAATGAAACAACGAACAGACATTATACTTTAAGTGGTAAAAAATTAAGGACGCAGCCCTGTCTAACATTCAGCCCTCCTAAACACTCTTCCATTTGCAACAGTTCAACTGCAACGTTATTTTATGTGTAAAGCATGTTATATTCATGTAACAATACAAACAATATACAGACTGTGAATATCAAGTGAGAGGCTGTGTGCATGTGCATGAGAGATAGAGAGAGAGAGAGAGAGAGAGAGAGAGAGAGAGAAGAGACACAGCGAGAGAGAAAATAGACGAGAGAGAAGAGACACAGAGAGAGAGAGAAAAGACGAGAGAGAGAGAGAGAGAGAGAGAGAGAGAAGAGACACAGAGAGAGAGAGAAAAGACGAGAGAGAGAGAGAGAGAGAAAGAAAGAGAGAGACAGCTTGAATCAACTGAGACAGGTACATATTGTGGATTGAGGTTTGAAGAACGGATCAACATCATGGCACACAGGTAGTGACCAATAAGTGCTCCGTTCTTCTAAGGCTCTGTAGCACCGGCGAGGATCCTGAAAAACTTGAGGTAGATTTTTAAATCCAAATTTTTGCCTGGGCAGCGCCGTTAGGCTATTTTTTTTTCGATTTGCAACTGTCAAGTGATATTTTAGGTGCGCAGCAAAGCATACGGGCGTCCGATCTCACTACCCAGAGACCAGGGGGAATTACTAGTTGTCCACGTGAAAAAAAATCCAAGCCCTTACTAAGGACTGCACTTGGAACCTCTAGCACCCGAGGGGGACACAATGCCACGAGACCACGCAGCCCCCCCCCCCCATTTCCCCAAATATAATGAACACACACACGTTGTATGTGAATCACTGACTAGGGAAGAAATTAGACGGATTAAGTCATTGAGAAATGTAATGAGAAAAATAAATGAAGAAGAACTGATGGCGACACAGAGATTTCAGTTAAAAGAATACGGGACTATGCTGTACACGCTGCTGAAACTTGGATCGGTGTTGTCATGGGCTGTATCTCTCAGCACTTCTATACAGGGTAAGCAGTCGCACAATAGATCTGCACAATCGAATAATTATGTCCCTTCTCATACATAAGACACACACGCGAAGACTAGCTGTGTAAAGGAGCAGAGCAACTCACCCTGTTCAGCAATCTCAATCTCCCGCCTGCCAAAAGCAGCATGGTCGATGTTCTTGACGCAAAAGTCACTGAAGCCTTTGGAATTTTTCTGCAGAGGAAACAGGAACACATTCAGTGTGAGCACACTTGGGTCGACAACACACAAACACATGCAGTGCGAGCACACTTGGGTCAACAACACAGAAGCATATTCAGTGTGAGCACACTTTGGTCAACAACACACAAGAACATGCAGTGTGAGGACCCTTGGGTCAACAACACACAAGCACATTCAGTGTGAGCTCAACTGAATCTACAACACACAAGCACAGTGTGAGCACACGTGGGTCAACAACACAGAAGCACATTTAGTGTGAGCCCACTTGGTTCATTACCACAAAAGCCCATTCAGTGTGAGCTCAACTGAATCTACAACACACAAGCACAGTGTGAGCACACGTGGGTCAACAACACAGAAGCACATTTAGTGTGAGCACACTTGGTTCATTACCACAGAAGCCCATTCAGTGTGAGCACTCTTAGGTCAACAACACATAAGCACATTCAGTGTGAGCACACGGGTCATTAACACAGAAGTATATTCAATGTGAGCACTCTTGGGTCAACAACACACAAGACTATTCAGTGTGAGCACACTTGGGTCATTAACACAGGAGCAAATTCAGTATGAGCACACTTGGGTCATTAACACAAAAGTAGATTCAGTGTGAGCACACTTGGGCCATTAACACAGAAGCACATTCAGTGTGAGCACACTTGGGACATTAACACAGAAGCACATTCACCGTGAGCACTCTTCTGTCATTAACACAAAAGCTGATTCAGTGTGAGCACTCTTGGGTCATTAACACAAAAGCAGATTCAGTGTGAGCACTCTTGGGTCAACAACACAGAAGCACATTCAGTGTGAGCACTTTTTGGTCAACACAGAAGCACATTCTCTGAGCACTCTTGGGTCAAGCAACACACATGCAAATTCAACAGGTAGAAGTTGAGGTTAAGATCACGATAACATTAGCACACGTAATCCTAGCTATCCATCATTCAGAAACTGTGGGAAACGCTAACTGGGCCGCACCAAACGGGACTGGTAGCTTGCTGTTTAAGAAAATTCTAAAAAAATAAATAAAAAAAAACGGGCACTTTATTTTTAATTCACCCCAAACATAGGAAATGCTGAAGTTTCCGGAAAAGTCGAATATCCTAGGTGTGGTATGGGTTAGGGTTAGGATCAGAGTTAGGGTTAGGGGTAGGATCAGAGTTAGGGTTAGGGTAGTCGGTGTCTCTGAGGCAGTGGGTACAAGAAGGAATTAAAGCTAACTGACATTATATTGAATGTTATTAATATTAATAATCAACACCTTCATTATGTGCCATATCGGTAAGCGTAGGTTTGCGCATTTCGCCATCTCACAAGATCACCGGAACGACGGATCAGTTCAATGTTCTTGTCTCATTCACATCCATCTGGCCAGGCCATCCAGGTATGTATCTCTCTGCTTTCCTCTTGCTCTTTCCATTAACCTTGCCCGTTAGGTTCTGGAGTTCGCAGATCCTATGCACGAGAGGCAAACACTCCCACACTCTCTTTCATACACACACACAACGGTGTGCGTGCGGGAGCAAACAAACGTACATTTTTTTAGATAGAGATTTTCTTCAGACTCCCACCTAAGATCTTGAATAGTTCCCACATATTGCAACACCATTTCCACACGAGGCACAGTGCCAAATCTGTTCTTTATTTCTTTGCTGAATACTTTCATCTCTTTCTTTTTCTTCAGCGGGCATAAATCTAATTTGGCGTTTCTTGGTTAATATATTACCTACTTCAAACCCCGGCCGAACTGCCCTACAACTATTTTTTTTTTTATCACTGTAGCAGTGGCTTTCTGGTGCAATGTTTGTGACTGCTAACGCATGTCTTCCAAATTTGTTGCCAGTGATGGTGTGTAGTCAGTCGATTGTCTGGTCTGAGCTCATTCACATGATTCTTCCAACGCCTGTAAATCTTGTTAGATCTTGCTGACACCAGGTATTTCTAACAACTGTAGCTTACAAAGAAAAGATCAGTGTTGTCTTGAGATGGCAAAAAGAGGAAAGATCGACTTCGGAACGATGATACCAGGAAGGACAGTCGGCACAAAACCAATATTTAACTTTGCAGGCGCGCGCGTGCACGCACACACACAGCAAAAGCAAATGGTTTAGCCATGTGAAAAGATTGACAACAGACAGTGCACCACAGAGAGCATGGTTATACAGTGATAACAGAACCAGAGGTCCACCACGACCTGGTCGACCTTGAATGCCTCAGGGTGTCAGGGCAGGGAAAGATCTCTGGAATGGATCCTTTATTTCACTTCCTATAAAGTACTTTTCGGTGTCTCCGGTCGACATCTGGATCTGTTACCGTTGTTCCTGTACAACACTGCTTGCTCTCTGTAGTGCCCTGGATCTGTTACCGTTGTTCCTGTACAACACTGCTTGCTCTCTGTAGTGCCCTGGATCTGTTACCGTTGTTCCTGTACAACACTGCTTGCTCTCTGTAGTGCCCTGGATCTGTTACCGTTGTTCCTGTACAACACTGCTTGCTCTCTGTAGTGCCCTGGATCTGTTACCGTTGTTCCTGTACAACACTGCTTGCTCTCTGTAGTGCCCTGGATCTGTTACCGTTGTTCCTGTACAACACTGCTTGCTCTCTGTAGTGCCCTGTCTGATGCCAATCTTGTTACATGGCCCAAAAACCAGACGAAGAAAATTAGCACCACTGACACAGACACCTACCTGAGTCTTCTCTCGTGGCGAGATGTCATCCTCCTCAGATGAGCTTCCTGTGTATGAGGCTGAAAACAGAAACAGACACAACTGTTTACACGAGGACACCACAGAACACTGGAGACTTTCTGGCACTAAACACGGTATGAGCTCACACAACCGTCATTTTTTGGAGAAAACAAAACAAAAATCGTCACGTTCAACCAGCATCCCTGAAGGGGAAGCTTTCAGTTATACTTGTGACTAGGTTATGTGCGAAACACAAAACCGCTTAGCAGTGCACGACATCAGGAGCGCCGACAAGGATGCCTGCAGTGTTGATGCAATTACAGGAGACAAGATCTAAATACTGTCCCAGACCGGCGAAGAAGTAGTCTACCGACGAGCCAATAAGCGACTTGGTCGCCGATGGAACTCACACACACTTTCATTCATAGGTTATGGAGCATGCTGATAAATGTACGGCGTCCGGCGGATGATATCGTTTGTATGGTGTGTAAGTTCTCTTGAAAGGCTTTAAAAGTCTATGGTTTAGCACCAGCGAGGAAATCAAGGTCAACATTGTGAGCGCTTGCATCTTTCCTGTAGCAACATACGGATGTAAGCCGTGGACTATCTGGCATCTTGTCTGTAGCAACACACGGATGTAAGCCGTGGACTATCTCGCATCTTCCCTGTAGCAACATACGGATGTAAGCCGTGGACTATCTCGCATCTTTCCTGTAGCAACATACGGATGTAAGCCGTGGACTATCTGGCATCTTCCCTGTAGCAACATACGGATGTAAGCCGTGGACTATCTGGCATCTTGTCTGTAGCAACATACGGATGTAAGCCGTGGACTATCTCGCATCTTCCCTGTAGCAACACACGGATGTAAGCCGTGGACTATCTGGCATCTTGTCTGTAGCAACACACGGATGTAAGCCGTGGACTATCTGGCATCTTGTCTGTAGCAACACACGGATGTAAGCCGTGGACTATCTCGCATCTTCCCTGTAGCAACATACGGATGTAAGCCGTGGACTATCTCGCACTCACTATGTAAGAAAGCGGACTTCTGAGCTGAAATGTTAGAAAGATTCTCAGAATACTATAGACCAAAGAAAGAACAAGAAAATAACCAAAATTCTAAAAGATTAGAACATCAAGGTAGATTGGCTTGTTAACAACATCTTGTCTCAGAAAAGTTCTAGCCATTATAAAAACAAAAACACAGTGAACGGGAAAGAATAACCGCAAAAGATAAGAAAGCTTGAAAGGGGCAGGGGCCGATCAGCACGAAGATGGGCACAGGATACAACCTTAGGTAGGAAAGTGCACGAGGTGGTCCAGCGGGCTAGGAACCCCGAGTTTCTTTCAAGCAGTCTGCGAGGAGAGCGAGGTTCTGCACAAGACCTGGCATGTGATGAGGTGTAGGTCTAATCTTCACCAGCACATACTCCACCAGCAATGCACTTCCAGCGTTTGGAAATAGCAGATTAAAGTCAAATTTTAGATTTCAATTGAAACACTATACAATTTTATTTTTAAAAATAATTTCGACTTCTCCGCTTCTATAGATGTCGAACATCGCCTGTAATTCATTCTCCATGAAACTACATGGCCTCAAGGGATCACAATTAACAGTTGAACTTGCCACAAAGGGCCGATTCTCAAATGCATGGGTGTCCTTCATGGAATCACCCTCAACAGTTGAACTCGCCACAAAGGGCCGATTCTCAAATGCATGCGGTGTCCATCCTTCATGGTATCACCCTCAACAGATGTACCCCCATACAGTCCATCCTTCAAGGCTGAATCTATATATCCCCGAAAACACATATGGCTGTCCCCCTAACCTCAGTGTCCCACACCTCAGCAGACCCACTCACACATATCTACACACATCATCACAGACTCTAGGCTAATCTTATGTCCCTTCGATGTAACGCATTCGTAATCCCACCCCTCACACCGCTGACACACAGACTAATGATTCGTGTACACCGCTGAACACCCCCCCCCCCCCCCCCCCCCCCCCCCCCCGATGTTATTGGGGTACAGCAGAGCACACCAGCAACCAGCACCACACATCCAGGGACTAGCCTCAGCAAGATATAAAGACCGGTCTTGGATATGCCATCTTCAGCAGAGGATTCTCTCTCAAAGGCGCATGTCGTATGTTGGCCGTGCTAATCGTAGCGATGGGTAGGGAGGGGAAAAGGGAGAAAGGGGGTTGAATGAATAAACAAACGATACAGTTGGGGGTGACGAGAGGTTCTGGCAGAAGCTCAAGCCTCAGAGGAAAGGCAAGACGGACAAACTTTGTTTTTATAGGGTTACAAACTGGGCATGCAGGGCCGTCTTACATTCGGCTCTTCAAAGCACGCATCTTTCAGGCCCCAACTGAGAGACAGGGGGTGGGGGGGGGGGGGGGAGACATAGACATACATTTAGGTAGACAGATACACAGACAGACAGATACACAGACAGACAAATAGACAGACAGACAGACAGACAGAGAGAGAGAGAGAGAGAGAGAGAGAGAGAGGAGACAGACAGACAGACATTACATATATACATACATATATACATACATACATACATACATACATACATACAGACATACATACATACAGACAAAACATACATACAGACATACATACTACATACATACATACATACATACATACATACATACATTACATACATACATACATACATACATACATACATACATACATACATACATACATACATACATACATACATACATACATACATACATACATACAACATACATACATACATACATACATACATACATACATACATACATACATACATACATACATACATACATACATACATACATACATACATACATACATACATACATACATACATACATACATACATACATACATACATACATACATACATACATACATACATACATACATACATACATACATACATACATACATACATACATACATACATACATATACATACATACATACATACATACATACATACATACATACATACATACATACATACATACATACATACATACATACATACATACATACATACATACATACATACATACAACATACATACATACATACATACATACATACATACATACATACATACATACATACATACATACATACATACATACATACATACATACATACATACATACATACATACATACATACATACATACATACATACATACATACATACATACATACATACATACATACATACATACATACAGACTGAACGATCTGAGAGAGCAACTGCAAAATACCGAGTGTGTGCGCGTGTTGGACAGTGAGAGAAGCAAAGATATACAGAAATAACGAGCTTTTCCAGGCATCACAAACAGATAAACTTTGACCACTGGTCACTATGCACTCTAATCTTTCACACAGTTATTATACTTTCCACAGAATCAGTGCTAATTAATTTAGCAGTAAAGGCGGAGTCAGATCGAAGGTGACATAAAACGAACAAGAAAGCACACAAAGTCTGAGATCCAGTACCACAGAAGAGGGAATGATACAGGGAGGGAGGGAGAGAGAGAGAGAGAGGGAGAGAGAGAGAGAGGAGAGAGAGAGAGAGAGAGAGAGAGAGAGAGAGAGGTGGGAGGTTGCAACCTTTCAAAGAGACATGGCATATCAACATACCTGACTGACGTCTCATTAAAAGCCAGTAAAGTTCTGGTGAGTCCATTCATTGCTGACTAGTTAAAATATAACAAATACCCAAACACAAGCCCCAACAAAGGCCAGCACTCTGCAAACAACATCACCACAGCCTTCATCAACAACAACTACAGGCGAAAGAGCCTCTTTAAAAAGAAATGGTCAAAGTGCCCCACGGTCTGGACAGTCCCAAAATTGGTCAGAGATCTAGAATAACGGAAGTGTTTGTGGCCAGATGCCAGAAAGTGCGAAAGTAAAAAATTTCTGGCAAAACTGGTATTAGTAAGTTCAGTGTTTCCTCGAGAAAAAGGACCGATTGTGGAGAAAAGAAGAACAGACCATTAGCCCTCCCCCCCCCCCCCCAAAAAAAAAGCATGTCGTAAGAGTCGACAAAGGGGGGGTTTTCCTATAAAGTCGTAGTGCATTTTCATGAGAGGCAATGAACCAACATTATGTATACAAATAGGCCAGATCTGTAAAACGCAAGTGCACGTAACACTCAGGTTCTCGAACAGGACTAAAGTCTAGAGGTGGACGAACAACCAGAACTTTCCAACAGAGGTTATAGCCGGTGAACGCATAGAAGGAAGATATTGTTTGTTTGTTCATTACAAAATTAGACATTTATTCTAATACATTCAGGCTATCTTAGTTGAAACATCGTCATCCCTCTCTAAATCCCGAATTCCGGCCCTGAATTTCTCGCGACTCAATCTCCTGCAGAATCATTGGCCCCAGCCTCTCATGTGTAGCAAATAAATCTTCCCTTGTGAATCACACTTCATTATCAAGTGCGCTTCAGTGGCCTCTGTACTCCAAGTGGTCATTCGGCTGCAAGTCTCTCATTCCAGCTGCCGATCTTAACTTGGGCTTATTGGCGGAGAGAGGAGGGGTTTATATTTCAAGTATCATAAAATTCGTCCCAGGGAGTATTTTTGTTGTGTTTTTGTTTGTTGATTACCAACGCCATATGGCATGGTCTTTAAGAACAATTATGCTCTTGTCTTGTATCTTTAAGTGTTGTTCATGCTGTTTAGGGTCATCCATGCCCCTCCCCCCCACCCCATCCCACTGCCTTTGATATTCACATTATGCATATTGTTATCTGAACATAACATGCTGTGTGACAGATGAGTGTTTCAAAGGGACAACTGTAAGACGGGCCTGCGTACTCAGTTTGTGACCAAAGTTTGTTCGTTATTTGTTGTTGACTTTCTGTCTCCAGGATTACACTGTGACGCACGGAGCAACTATTCGTATCAGAATCCAACAGGAGGTTATCAAAGACCCCCCCCACCCCCCGCTCCACTTCAGTAGTAAGTGCTATACATATATTTTCAGACCAACCACACTCGGTGAGTGATGTGGTCAACATCACACCGGTCGCCTTTACTTCCCAGAAGTTTACGTGGTACCCAATTAAAGCTAGGTCGACCTGGGAGTAAAGTTAATTTTTGAAGAAGAAAAAACTGTCTTGTTCGGATTTGTACTCAAGACCGTTGGATCTACAGGCAAGCCTCTAGCCGCTACTCCACGGCGGCTTTCGTCATTGAGACAGTGATGTTTTGTAATTTCAAGAGGGGGGGGGGGGGGGTGAAACATTGAGATGGGAGCCCGAACCAGAAGCAAAAACGGCAGGAAAGAACTACTTCTACCTTTCTCTACACAAATCAGGAATATGAATCATGGGAAAACACATAGATCTGCAAAAGTAAACACGGGGAAACACACAAGATTAGGGGAAAAGCATGATAAGGAAACTTGTAGATCGGGGAAAATAAATCATGGATAAACCACATAGGATTGGGGAGAACAGGCACAGGAATCATGGGGGATTTATTGGGAACATAGATCGGGCAAATAAAAGGAAATCATGGATTTGAAACACGGGGAAACACACAGATTTTGGGAAAATGAATCATCCGGGGGTGATAAAACAATACTGTGACAGATCGGAGGAAAAGGAATCATGGGGAAACACACAGATCGGGAAAAGGAATCATGGGGTGGCAACAAACGGGAGGAGATATCGGTTTCATCTTTCGCTACACAGACCGGGCAAATGACACATGATGATGAAGACGACTGTAACTTACACAGAGAGTCCGCAGTGCCCGTGCTGATGGTGCTGGAACGGCGGTCCAAGCTCATCAGCTGCTGTGTCAGCTTCTTGTCGAGCTGCACGCTGTGCCGCTTCCTCCCCGCCCGCGCCCGGTAGGCCTCCTCGCCGCTCTCGTCTAACGTTGTTTTCATCTTCTCCGAGTCGTGAAAGTTATCAAAGTTCTCGTTGGAACTTGGCTTAAAACTCAGCAGCCTCTTGGCCAACATCTCGGCAGATTTTCGTGGACTCTAATGAAGGCTCTTTGGCCGCAACGTTCACTTGTCGTTTGTGCTTGTGATAATGTGAAGCTTTGATGGTTCTACTTTTCGTTTGGTATATATCCTTTCAGATTTTCTTGGGAGTCTTGGTAACTATGTCAAGCTCTCCAGAAGACAATACCCCCTCAAAGTGTTGAATAGTTCCAGAAAGCGGGAAAATGTGAACGGGAAGTAGTCAAGTATAATCCACGAAGACCGTTTCATTGGTGTTTAGATCAAAAACTCCGCAATGTTAAAAGGTCAGACCTGATTTCCTTAATCAAGCTCCGGGACGGGAGACCACAGCAGACTATAAAAATTACCTATCGTTTCCGGGTTAGAGCCCTGGCAAGCGTGACCTCTGATGACAAACGGGAATTTGACATAACAATAACCCACCAAAAATATCGCCACACATTTACATCTCTGGTAATGTGGTGAAACCCGAACACGGATTTAAAATAATTCACATAAGCGAGTACGCATACACACACCGCAACGATCCAGCGGTTACAGCAATGATCTAACGGTTATAGCATCATTCTAGTGGTTATAGCCCCGACCTAATGGTTATAGCACCGACCTTGTGTTTAGAGCACCAACTTAGTGGTTATAGCACCGACATAGCGCGTGTAGCTCCGACCTAGCGGTTTTGGCACCAGTACAGAGATTACAGCATCGACCTAGCTAAAGTGTTATAGCACCCACCCAGTGATACAACTCTGAGCTCATGATTATAGAACCGACCTAGAGGTTATACCACAAAGCTAGTGATTACAGCACCGGCACAGAGAATACAGCATCGAACAGGTGATTACAGCACCGACCTAGTGGTTATAGCACCGACCTAGAGATTACAGCACCGACCTAGTGATTAAAGCACCGACCTAGTGATTATACCACCGGCACAGAGATTACAGCAACGACCTAGAGATTACAGAACCGACCTAGGGATAATAGCACCGACCTAGGGATAATAGCACCGACCTAGTGATTATACCACCGGCACAGAGATTACAGCACCGACCTAGAGATTATAGCACCGACCTAGAGATTATAGCACCGACCTAGAGATTACAGCACCGACCTAGTGATTAAAGCACCGACCTAGAGATTATAGCACCGGCACAGAGATTACAGCACCGACCTAGAGATTACAGAACCGACCTAGTGATAACAGCACCGACCTAGTGAATATAGCACCGGCACAGAGATTATAGCACCCACCTAGCGGTTACAGCGCCGACCTAGAGATTACAGAACCGACCTAGAGATTACAGCACTGGCACAGAGATTACAGCACCGACCTAGTGCTTATAGCACCAGCACAGAGATTACAGCACCGACCTAGCGGTTACAGTAACGATTACAAAGAAATGACAGGTTGTGACGTAAGGTCAAGACAAATGCATCCGTGTGGGAAAACATCATCGTGTTAAACCATGTGCAACATTTCTGACTGTGTCATCCTACACTTAGTTATAAAGTTAGTTGAGTATTCTTTTCAGGACACTGCAGAACCAATCTCAGTCGGCTCTCGGTACCACTGTCGAAACCAATGAAGACCTTATGCTGCCAAATAGCGCTTAGATGGGATCGAACCCAGCATCCCTATATTACGAAGCGAATTCATAAAGCCTTAGCCACAGACACCTGTACTTAAAGAATATTTGTCGTCACCTTCTGATCAGACTTCCGCAGCGTAAGTCCCCGACACATCATCTACGAATAAAATATTCACAACCAGTGATGTGAACAGAGTCCGTCTTTGCTACACACAGAAAGGCAAACACGTTATTTCCGGACAATACAGACGCAATCAATCTAAAGTACAGCCACACGCACATTCACACATGCAGACCTACAAACACACATCCGGACATACACAGGTTCGTTGCAACGACTCTCTCGGGCTCTCGTCGCATGCAGCCTTCTCAGACACACTGACAGTTCAACGTGTCGGGTACTAGATTGAGAGAGAGAGATGGTCAGGCAGATGCAGCGGGAAAGCCCCTGGGTGTACGTATGGAGTGTATGTAAGACATGCTGTTTAATGTACATATATTTTTTAAGATAATCTAGATAAGGTAAAGTGGTGGCTGGCGGAAGTGACGTAACACATTTACTGCTGAACCAATTATATGCGCGAGAGAGAGAGAGAGAGAGAGAGAGAGAGAGAGAGAGAGAGAGAGAGAGAGAGAGAGAGAGAGAGAGAGAGAGAGAGAGAGATGGGTAAGGCGGCAGGCTGACGCCACAAGAATGCCTCTGTCTCTATGTAAGACATGCTGTTTTAGTGTTCATATATTTTAATGGCAATATAGATAAGGTAAAGTGATGGCTGGCGGAAGTGACGTGGAAGACATTTACTGCTGAACCAATTATATAGAGAGAGAGAGAGAGAGAGAGAGAGAGAGAGAGAGAGAGAGAGAGAGAGAGAGAGAAGAGAGAGAGAAGAGAGAGAGAAGAGAGAGAACAGTTTGGGAACGTGCCATCATGGAACCGTCAATTGTCCCTCCTGACTTCAGGCCCTAATGTGTACACCGGAATACAACAATGAGGTATCAGTCTTGTCATCAGAGGAGTTCCACTTACACACTGGTAGCCGCCGTGGTGTAGTGGCTAGACGCTGGGCATCGGTAGATTGTAGGTTCAGGCCCTGACGAGGCTGGACCTTTTCCAAACACGACCTTAGCTGCCAGGTCCACCCAGCTTTAAATGGTTACCAGGTACAGTCCTGGGCTGTAAAGGCGGCCGGTCTGCTGCTGACCACACCACCCACAGAGTCGTTTATAAATTACAGGTCTCGCCCAATATGCCCGAAGGCTTGGAAAAAGGTCTTTGACTTATAAACTAGAATATTCCTTTTCCCTGGCGTACACGACTAGACACGGGCACAATAAACAGAGAACGGTACTCTGGTAGGCTAGCACAAGCGAGCAGTATTACACACATGAATGCCGTCAAAAGATAGATGCCCACAAAGATGCAACGCTAACAGAAACACAACCTAGCTTGATTACACAGATGAGAAGTCAGTTCTGGGGAGAGTCATAAAATACGGGAGAATCAACCAGCAAAAGAAAACCTAATGTTAATGTAGACGGGGAGAAGGCGGGAACAGAACTGGCAAGGCAGTTAGACAAGGCTGCGTTGTAAAAACATGATAGATAGATAGATAGATAGATAGATAGATAGATAGATGAGATAGATAGATAGATAGATAGATAGATAGATAGATAGATAGATAGATAGATAGATAGATAGATAGATAGATAGATAGATAGATAGATAGATAGATAGATAGATAGATAGATAGATAGATAGATAGATAGATAGATAGATAGATAGATAGATAGATAGATAGATAGATAGAGATAAGATAAGATAAGATAGATAGATAGGATAGATAGATAGAAGATAGAGAGAGAGAGAAAGAGAGAGAGAAGATAGAGAGAGAAGATAGAAGAGATAGAGATTAGACAGAGGATAGATAGAGAGACTAGAAGATTAGAGAGAGAGAGAGAGAGAGAGAGAGAGAGAGAGAGAGAGAGAGAGAGAGAGAGAGAGAGAATACACACACACAAAGCACGGCTAACTAAAATAGAACCTATTCAACAAACATAGGTGAGCTTGTCTGCCTGTTGTAAAGAACATAACAACTGAGACAAGAGCGCCAGGGGAGATAATCTGCCGAAAAGCAACTTGAATCGGTTCCAGAAAACTAATCAACTTTGGCTCTGCCACACACAATACCTACTGAGATATTGATGAGCACCCGCCAGTGTGGGATGGGGGTAACATGTGGCAGTCAGATGTGGGGTGGGGGTAACATGTGGCAGTCAGATGTGGGGTGGGAGTAGCATGTGGCAGTCAGATGTGGGGTGGGGGTAGCATGTTGCAGTCAGATGTGGGATGGGGGTAGCATGTGGCAGTCAGATGTGGGGTGGGGATAACATGTGGCAGTCAGATGTGGGATGGGGATAACATGTGGCAGTCAGATGTGGGATTAGGGATCACATGTGGCAGTCAGATTTGGGATTGGGGATCACATGTGGCAGTCATATGTGGGATTGGGGATAACATGTCACAGTCAGATGTGGGGTGGGGGTTACATGTGGGGTGGGGGTAACATGTTGCAGTTAGATGTGAGGGTAACATGCGGCAGTGATATGTGGGGTGGGTGTAACATGTTGCGTCCAGATGTGGGCTGAGGGTAATATGTAGAGTGAGGGTAACATGAAGCAGTCAAATGGGGGAGGGGGCATATGGCAGTCAGATGTAGGGTGAGGGTAACATCTAGCAGTCAAATGGGGTGGGGGAGAGGGGCATGGGGCAGTCAGATGTGGTGTGTGTGTGTGTGTGTAACTATCAGTGGAAGGGAGGGAGGGGGAGGGCATGGGGCAGTCAGATGTGGTGTGTGTGTGTAACTATCAGTGGAAGGGAGGAGGAGGGCATGGGGCAGTCAGATGTGGTGTGTGTGTGTGTAACTATCAGTGGAAGGGAGGAGGAGGGCATGGGGCAGTCAGATGTGGTGTGTGTGTGTAACTATCAGTGGAAGGGAGGGGGGTGGCATGGGGCAGTCAGATGTGGTGTGTGTGTAACTATCAGTGGAAGGGAGGGGGGGGGGGTTGTGGCAGTCAGATATTCCTAAAGGGCATCTGTAATGCGAAAAAGATCAGCTGGGTCGAACGACCCTTTCACAGGGGTCGCCTAATACAATCAGAAAACACATTTTCATTGAAGTTGTAAAGGAAAATAATTGTTTAAGGGTCGCCACAACAAGAGTAAACTGTATTAAAGGATCGCGGCTTTAGGAAGGTTGAGAGCTACTGGCCGAGCTCCTTGAGGGTAACCGTGTCTGAGGTGAGCTACAAGAACTGTCCAGAGTTCCAAATCCGATGACACCAGTAACCTAGTGACGGTTTATTCGTCTCACCTTTTCGTTAATCGCCAAGTTGCTGGATGTTCGG